AAGCTCCAAGGAGCAGGGCCCTCCTATCCCTCTTGTATTGAACTGTATTGTTGCTGTATTGTCTCCCGTTATATTGTAAAGCGCTGAGCAAACTGTTGGCGCTATATAAATCCTGTATAATAATAATAAATCTCTGTTATGGCAGACAAGTATGTTGATGCCGATTCTGATAGCCCTCCCATCTTTGTTTTTCATTTTTTGCACATTAAAATCATTTTTTTTACCATAAAACAACTTAAATATATTTGAGAACACCCTGTAGATGCCTCTACAACCTTTAAGAGTCAGAAAATCATATGAGAGGTATTTCTCTCTGATTTCATTTCACTTTGTTCCTGGGGCTAAGCTTTTACAACTGTCCTCCCCTGTCCAATGAGAATGCTTCAGTGGCCAGTAAGAACACTTTTGATGTTAAAATTGGAGCACAGGTTGACTATGACTCTTCAACTGAGTGGTCCATTTCTCTGCCCAATCAACTATTCCACAGCAAAGTTGTGACTCTCCTTCAGCTGGATTCCATCATTATTTGTATACCATTTGCTGTATAGCATCCAGTAACAAGAAGTGACACCATCATCAATTACCAAAATGGAAGCTGCAACTGGACAGAACTGGCCATAAATGGCTTCATCCCATCCCTTATTCAATATGTAGGCGTAAGTACGGACATTTATGGGTACACGTTGGGGTAAATAACAGTGCTATAGACATTTTCTAGCTTGAAAAATCTAACATTCTTTGATCATTAAGAAGAGAGGAAAAAGTAGGATGTTGTGCCTGCACTGCTTCAATTTGTTGGGTAAATCAAATGAATGACAACAGCCATTCCAGGTATGACTGGGGCCAGACAAATGTCTTCTTGCCCATCATTTCCAAACAGACATATACCCATCTATGGCTAGGCATTAACACATGGCAAATGCCCAAAAACTATGGGCTAAACAGCACTTTATAACAAAGCAGCCAAAGCAGGGGTTCAATGCCGTACTGGAAATTGAAATCCCCTTGAAGAGCATGTAAAGGGTTAAATGGCTGCATCATTTAGGTTAAGCTGCTGAAATAACATTGGTTAAATATGTGTATTTAAGCAACTGTACATGTTAGAGAAAATGTCATTCTCCTTTGCAGCAGCTCTTATCTTGTTTTTAAATCTGGGGTTTTTTATATGCCTGCCAAAAGAGCTACTTGTAGAAAACTATGTGCAGAATGTTTTAAGATCTTCGATCTTGCAACCATAGAAAATAAAATGGATGTGTTATGTAGGTGTAAGCTAAGGATATGGCAAGATCCCTTTCAGAACACTATGACAGCTCGGAGCAGGGGCGGACTGATCATTTGGAAACTCGTGGCACTGCCCGAGGGCCCGGGGTCAGTAGGGGGCCCCATGAGATGCCCCTGCTACCTTTTTCATAGGATTTTTTGAGTTTGGGCAAGGACACAGTTAACACAAGGGGCTTTTTAGACTCCATGTGACAGCAACAAAGTTAACAAAGAAAAAGTTTTAAAAATTAAACTTTAAAGTGAAACTGCGCTGCATCTGAGCACCACAAAGCAAAAATGCTATTCAATTAATTTTTAATATTCAAAGCAAATCTCCCCATCCATCCATGCCTTCATGCTTTTTTTTTTTTGCTGCGAAATCAGCCCATTGTATTTCTGGCCATGGCCACCTTGAGTACGGGCAGATAATTCATCTCGTATTGACTTCCTAGGATCCATCTAACCTTCAGGCATACAAGCAGGAGTATGGTCCAATAAAAAAAAAATGAAGCAGCGCCAAACCCAACCAAATAGTGAACTAAAAAAGTTTTGCAAATATGTAAAAAAATTAAATAGGTAGCTGCCCCTTTAAGTGAAACAACACCTAAAGGATAAATTCATTTTTTGTCCAAAAATAATAAATGCACATTTTTTTTGCAGGTAAAAAAATGTGCATTTATTATTTTTGTCTACAGGAGCCTGGAAAGCATTGCACCAGCGATCAATAGACTGCTGATGCCATGCAGGTCTCCTGCAGAACTGTCAGAATATCTGCTTGCCATACAGGATGTACAAGCAAGCAGATATATTGACAGGAAGCTTCAATGATCTACCATGGCTCTCCACAGCGCAGTAGTAGTTTATTGAAAACTACAAGCTCACAGGAACTAAGGCTGTCGAGACTTATAGGCACTCATTTACAGAACACTGACGTGGCTGTGTGGGCGGAGCCTCGCACGGCCACACTATTTTCAAATCTGACTGATAGTACGGGAAACTTCTCCCTGTACTATCTGTCAGAGGGAGGGGGCGGTGGGCGTACCTCTGGCTATGGGAACATGTTACATGTTCCACCCTAAAAACGGGTGGAACATGTAACATGTTCCAAAAGGTGAACTTATCTTTAGCATAAATGTGCATTTAAGAAAAGTAGGCGCTCACCAAAATTGTGCAATCCCGATAATCATACACAATAACTAAAAATCAACATAACATAATACTGTGTCAAAAAAGTCCAAAATCCCAAAAATCATTCAAATGTGACAGTCCAACTGGTGACTAATTCTTGCAGCTCCAAATTGTGTTCGATCACCGTGTATGGCTGAAATGGGAACTCACCAAATCAGCTAGGCAAACAAAGTAGCCAGCAAGCTTGTAAACACAGATCCTCTATACCTTAGGTGTGATGCACAATCCTGCAGAATCCTTCAACCTCCTCCAATCAAATCATACTACACCACCTTCTCTATTCTCAGTATCAAATGTCCATCTTGGAGGAACCACAATCACCCCAGGAGGTGCGGAGTCAACGGGGAGGATAGAAGGGAAGTGTGGGGTCACCCAGGGTATGAGGTTGGGTGTGGTGTCACCCTTGTGGGGGGGGGGGAATCTCACAGGGAGGGGGGGAAGGGTTCAGTATCACCCTGGGGGGGAAGGGGATATGGTCAGGTGGAGTGGGGGTAGGGGGCAGTGTCTCCAGCACAGCGATGAGTTGCGGAGTGTGAAGAAGAGCGTGTCTAATTATCATGACTGCACGATTTTGGTGAGCGCCTACTTTTTTTAATTGCACATACAAGCAGGAGGGTGTGCTTAGCTGAGAAAACCCCTCCTCCGCTCCAGAAGACTCCTGGGATGTATTGTGTCATTTGCCTAGTCAAGAAACCAGGAAGTAACTGAAGAAACATACATAAATAGTTTAAAACAAGTAAATATGTACTTTCTTATCTACTATCTTACTAATGCTAGCAAAATAAGGATTAAAAAAATAGTCAATGTTAATTGAGAGAGTGAACTTCCACTTTAATAAAATAAAATAACACCCCAAAAAATGTTTCAAAGTCCCCAAGCTCCCATACCTATAAATGCAAACGCGCATGTGCAAACACCTATGAAAATTAGGACTGCTCCACACATATAGATCCCTATTAAAGCCTAATGCCGGCAATACATGGGTCAAAATTCGATCGATTTTTCGTCAGAAAATGGGACCTAAGAATAAATGGCCGATTTTCACTCTGTTAGTGGGTCAATGGCACCGGCCAATTTTCATGGTTCCTCCCCTTTTCGGTGATCGGGCATGTTGGAAAATTTGTGAAAAACTACCGATTTTCGACTCAATGATGGTCAAATCGTACGGTCGTATATGCGCATGAGCTGTAACCTGGAAGGAACAGAAGTTTCAAATGTTATATGGGGTGAACTTTATGACTTGGTCGGCCGATTTTCAAAATCATTGATGGTACCATCGATTACCGAGCGCACAACGTTTTCGATTTTTGGACGAAAAATCATTCAGAATTCGACCCATGTATGGCCTGCATTAGTGTAGATAAAAATTAAAAGAGAAAAATCAGCACAAGGAATAAAACTTACAGCCAAATCCAAGGTTAGAGAACAAGCGCCTCCTCCATTCATAGATAGTGTCTCATTCATAGAAACTGTAATTTTGACTTCTTATATTGTATTTTTTTACTGAAAGTACCAAATACAGATAAACAGTAACACAATTTCTGTATGCCCAAACAACATAAGCAACATCCACTATTTTATTACACAGCATTTCTGCTTTCAGAAAATATATAATGTTTTAGTGGTTTTAACAAATCTTCAGGCCTAAAATGTATGTTTGAACATGTCTCTAGCAGTGAGAAGGTTAAAGAATAGATGAGTACTATAAAAAGTAGTTCTGTTCGCTCTTGAAATCAGACTTCATCAATCTGTTATTCAAGTTTAGCACACTGACATTTTCCACAAACTGGATTACTGCAATTTTGCAATCACCCTACAAAATGAGACACTGATGCCAGATGAGCTTGATTGAAAAGGACAGTAATTGTCCTGTCGTTACCAGTATAATATTCAATCCCCCTCTTTCTACGCAATCAGGAATTGAGGTTTTGAGTAATGCCCAAGACAACAGGAAAGCAGCAGCAGTGTGTATTCAAATACATGCAAACTACTAATTTGCCTTTCACACATTAGCTTGAGGTTGGTACAGTTCTACTGGGGTTCCCATATGTAATTGCACACAACCCCATTCACATGTGAATAGATAGGTCCTAGTCTTTTCAATTATTTTTTTTTAGATATGGTGCATTCTGTGACGGGAGTGACTTTGGGTGGGGGGCCCATGGAACACAGCTCACTTTGGAGAGGTGGGGAGACCCGTCTCAGCTCCCCATATCCCTCCTATGTGTAGTCACCCTGTGCCTGTTAGGGGTACAGGGTGGAATGTCCTGATATTGTGTAGACATGTATAGGTGGGGTATGGGGGTTGTTCATTGTTTACTGCCATGTGGTGCATCCCATTGTTCTATTGTGTGTCTTGCTTGGGAGCAAACCAGGGGCGGACTGACAACTCATGGGGCCCCCGGCAATAGGGGATCATAGGGCCCCTGTGTCCTTGCCCAAACTCAAAAAAGCCTATGAAAAAGGTACCAGGGGCATCTCATGGGGCCCCCTACTGACCCCTGGCCCTCGGGCAGTGCCCGAGTTTCCAAATGATCAGTCTGCCCCTGGAGCAACCTATTATGGGATGTATGTGTATTGGCTTGGTGGGGGGTGTCTGCTGATGTGTATATGGTTGCTAGATTTGGTTTGCCCCGCCCTGTTTCTATATGCAGGGAGGTGGGTTGTTCCCGTAAATGTTTATATCTTGTGTCTGTGTTAAAATAAAGCAGTCTATCTCCTGGTTTCTTCAAGTCTGGTGCTGTCTCCTCTTGTATGGCCATTGGTGGTGTCCGTGGATCTGTGTTCGGACAGGGAAGCGGGAGTCTAACGGAAATACCCTAGTGCAGTCGGGGTCGGGTTCCGTTACACATTCATACTGCAATCAGATGCAAGAAGCCCAGTGGGGGTTCCCGTGATTAACTGCAAGAGGCTGCCCCATTGAAAGCTCCCGCAGCTAATTGTGGCCACTCACTCATGCACCGATCACATGAGAGTGATTGGCCCTGGAAGCAAGCGGCGCTTCAATGGGATGCCTCCCGCAGCAAATCGCAGGAAACCCCGTTGGGGTTCTCACATCTAATCACACTGCGGGTTCATTCGCAGGTGTGAGTGCACCCTAGGTGGGGTCAGCTATATGCAGATCATTCTCTGCATGAAGGTAAAAAACCTACATGCACCCCCAGCCCCCCCTTATACTTACCTGAGCCCAATCTCGATCCAGAGATTTACACAATTCTGGCTCTCGCCATACTCATTGGCTCAGACACAGCAGCAGGGTCCATTGGCTCCAGCTGCTGTCAATCACAGCCAGTGAGGGGGGAACAGGAGGCAAGGCCGAGAGCCGGAGTGAGTACGTACAAGCGCCATGCTATTGGGCAGTTGGTGAGGGTGAGGAGCCAGGGCCCCTGGCGGGGACCCAAGAAGAAGAGGATCAGGGCTGCTCTGTGCAAAACCATTGCACAGAGCAGGCAAGTATGACACGTTTGTTATTTTAATTGGAAAAAAAAAACCTTTACAAACACTTTAATTATCTATGGACCAAAATGTGTTTTCAGTTTCAGATAGAGTACAGAATGATTAAAACCTCTGACAGTTTTTTTTTTTTCTGCTATCTCTATCCTGTTGTGGAGATAACCTTCCTGGCCTAGAGGCACAAGAGGAAATCAAGTCTTGTTTACAGGAGCAGTAAAAAGAGGCTACTTAGCCGTGTTTTTACCGCTCACTGAAAGCCTAACATTGCACTGCCTGTTTAACCCACCCACTGAACAACCAACCAAACTCAGATTGCTGTTGCGGTGCAGCAGCTCATTACAAAAAAACAAAAACAACAAAAAAAACAGGCATACAGGAGGTGGTGGCAGTATCACCTCCTGAACATCTGGAAGCCACTGTTCTACTGCCTCTGAAAAGCGAATAGGTCTTTATGGGCTCATTCACACAGGTAACCATGTGGCAGGAAATGTAGGGAGTTGAGCAGGAGTTTTACTACCCCCCCCCTTCCCGTTCCCAACCATCAACCTAAAGAAGTGCATGCAGCTTTTCAGCTTTTCTGTGCACAAGCTGTAACTGCAGCAAACATTACAAAGCATGTCAAATTAAAGTGCTGAATAAAAAGCATGTTGAATTGGAATAATTTAAGTGTATAGGGCCGTGCAGTTGCAGTGGTCTTGTGGCATTTTCAGGGTTAAAACAGGTGGTGAGGAGATGACACCATGGGGTTTATTTACTAAAGCTGGAGAGTCCAAAATCAGACTCCCTTCTGCATAGAAACCAATCAGCTTCTAACCTCAGCTTGTTCAATGAAGCTTTGGCAGTGAAACCTGGAAGCTGATTGGTTTCTATGCAGAAGGGAGTCTGATTTTGGACTCTCCAGCTTTAGTAAATAAACCCCACTGTGTCACCTCCTCCAACGCCTATGAAAAACGATCATCCATGAATCACTTTTCAGAGGGGCGGCAAGGGCTGCTGCACATATGAATAAGCCCTAAGGCCAATGCCAGGAGTGACTACTAATTCTGTACCAATGTATAAAAATGCATGATTGGAGAGGACACGTGCGCATGTTTATGTCACGGTTTGGATTGTAGCCGGCCACCATATCATTCCATGGCTATATTCTGCACTGGTACAGTGCCCGGATAACTTCCACATGGGTCACAGTGCAGCTGCTCTCAGTGTAGCCTCCTGTTTGTACATGTTGTAATTAGAAGTAAAGGAAATTGGACGACACCAGGGAAAGCAGTCAGCTGGCAGCTGTTGAATCGAGTTCCCTTATTACAACTTCAATTTGCTAAAATTTTAATGATTTGGCTTGCAGGGTTGAGCTGTTTTTTGTATAGATTAATTATGTTTACCTACCACACAATGACAACCATATGGGAGATGAAATGTTCAGCGGAGGGGCAGATGGAGCAAACTGCAAAAACTTTTCTGTTTACATTTCGGAAGAACTGTGCCTGCAGCAGAAACCAAATGACTGATATAGTTTGGACCTGATGATCCTGAGCTGACCTGGTACAATTCCAGACATATACTGTATACTGACAAGTTCATTTCTGATCTGAGCTGATGAGTGAAACAGAACTGCCTCTACAAAGCAATACAATTTACAAATCTTCTCTAGATCTATGGCACATTATGTTTTTTGGTATCAAGAGCTCAGAGGCAATATACGTAGAGACCAGGGGCGGACTGACAACTCATGGGGCCCCTGGGCAAATTGGATCATGGGGCCCCTGTGTCCTCGCCCACACTCAAACCACACCCAAAAAAGCCTATGAAATGAACCAGGGGCATCTCAAGGGGCCCCCTACTGACCCCGGGCCCTCGGGCAGTGCCCGAGTACCCAAATGGTCAGTCCGCCCCTGGTAGAGACTGTGTTCTAGTTACAGGTCCCAGCTGTGAGTATAAACCAGCAGTGATCTTGTAGCACAGATCTGTAGAAGCTATAGATCTCTCCTAGGGCTTGCTCTCACCTGTGGACACCCTTGTCAGTGGATCGCTTTTCAGAGGGTCGTTAACAAGCAGCTGGGAAGCGATATGCCACCTGTTTTTACCCTCCAAAGCTTGCACCACCATGCATTGTATGTGACAGCCCTGCCTCTCCACCCCATCCAATCAGAGAACGCCTTGTGTTCACTGAAAATTACAAAGCATTAAATGGCGACAGTGCTGCTCTCTTGCCGCTAGAAGATAACAACGATCACGGTAGTAGCCCCCTGCCGACCACTACAGCAATATTCAGCTTTCTCAGCAGTCCATCAGGTATAAAGTATACTGTACATCCTTACATAGATCCAAGCTGAACTAAGCAGTTAAGATCATCCCTGAAGTTTGGCTTTAACCGTTTCTCGAGCACCTTATAGCATAAGTACTTCTACAGGGCGGCAGGGATGCGCAAAATCACGTATATATACATGATTTTGCATTTCCGGGTAGGGGGCGCGCACTCCCTACCCACGCCGCTATTGGCTTCTCGGCATGTCAGTCACCGAGTCCCGGCTGATCTTCAGGGGAGCTGACAGGGGAGAGGTCTGTATGTAAACAACAGGCTGAACAACACAAACAGACTGAACAACAGAGCAATACAAAGCAGCTTGTTTACATAGTAAAACAAACACAGCACACTGTTAACCCTTTGATCACCCCAGATACTAACCACTTCCTGCCCAGTGTCATTAGTACAGTGTCAGTGCTTTTTATTAGCACTGATCACCATATTAGTGTCGCTGGGGATGTCAGTGGCAGTTAGTCAGTTCACCCCCATAGTCAGAATGCCCGCTGCAGTCCCGCAACAAGTCGCTGATTACTAGTAGAAAGAAAAATTAAAATAAAAATTCCAGTACATATACCGCTATTTGGAGACGCTATAACTTTCATGTAACCAATTAATTTACACGTATTGGGATTTTTTTTCAGCAAAGACATGTAGCAGAATACATTTTGGCCTAAATTTATGAAGAAATTTGATTTTTAAATTTTTTTTACTGGATATGTTTTATAGCAAAAAGTCAAAATTGTTGGTCTTTTTTTATTTATATCGCAAAAAAAAAAACTACACAGGTGATCAAATACCACAGAAAGAAAGCACTATTTGTGGGGGAAAAAAGGACATAAATTTAATATATGTGCAAAGTTGCATGACCACGCAATTGTCAATTAAAGTAACGCAGCGTAAAAAATGGCCTGGTCAGGAAGGGGGGTAAATCCTCTGGAGGGCAAGTGGTTATAGAAGAGTTCCAGGTATGGATATTTTATACATAGTTGCATTGTTCCAGCTTGGACCAGTGTGACTATACATATACCATACCTGTGTTATCCCTCTAGAACAGGGGTGGGCAAACTTTTTGACTTGAGGGCCGCACTGGGTTCATATATTGGACCCGGGGGCCGGACCAAGAGTAGATGAATGATGTGTATGTGTCATCCATAGTAAGTATAGTAATATTCCCCCATAGTAAGCATAGTAATTAATCCCCCATATAGTAATTCATCCCCCATAGTAATTCATCCCCCATAGTAATTCATCCCCCATAGTAATTCATCCCCCATATAGTAATTCTTCCCCCATAGTAATTCATCCTCCATATAGTAATTCATCCCCCATAGTAATTCATCCCCCATATAGTAATTCATCCCCCATAGTAATTCATCCCCCATATAGTAATTCATCCCCCATAGTAATTCATCCCCCATATAGTAATTCACCCCCCATATAGTAATTCATCCCCCATAGTAATTCATCCCCCATATAGTAATTCATCCCCCATATAGTAATTCATCCCCCATAGTAATTCATCCCCCATATAGTAATTCACCCCCCATATAGTAATTCATCCCCCATAGTAATTCATCCCCCATATAGTAATTCATCCCCCATAGTAATTCATCCCCCATATAGTAATTCATCCCCCACAGTACTATTCCCCCCCAAGTAGTAAGCCAAGTCCCCCGTGTCAATTCACTTACCTTTGCTCCGCGCGTTCCTCTCGCCGTGTTCCCGCGCCGTTCCGGTCTTCAGGGTGGACTGTGAGAGGAGCCTAGCTCCCCTCACATTCGTCACGCTGCTCTGCCTACACACATCCTGACAGCCACATCCGCGGGCCGGATTAAAAGGTCCGCCGGGCCGTAGTTTGCCCATTGCTGCTCTAGAAGTTAGAAAGCACTGAAGTAGACACAGCTACTCCAGGGATCTCCACTTTCTGCCAGGTTCAATGGCTGAGTGACTAGCCTGCTGCATTCTGAATACAGGAGGTCGGCTGCTTAGTGGGGGGGCATTCTGTGAATGCTTTGTATTTTATAAATAAATGCAAAGAATTCTCTGATTGGACAAAGTGGAGAGGCAGGAGAATACACCAGGGTAGCCGCTCAGCACAGGACTCAGAAGCAAGAGGAGATCCCTGGGGTAGCAGTGTCTGTTTCAGCGATTTCCAGCATCCAGGGATATCTGCCATTTATGATATATACTGTACACAGTTACACTGGACCAAGCTGGACCAATCTAACTAATAATCCATATCTGGAATTTTTCTTTCACCACTTGCCGACCCGCAGTACATTTACTGTGACAGGTCAGCTCGTACAGGCACTATCACGTACCAGTATATCGTGGCTTCCTTCCAGGTCTGCAGGGAGTAAAAACTGGCACATTGCTTAGTAAAACACCACACAGTAAACACGCTAAACATTGTTAGGCATATATTTAAACCTTTGATCACCCTAGATGTTAACCTCTTCCCAGCCAGTGTCATTAGTACAGTGACAGTGGATATTTTTAGCACTGATCACTGTATTAGTGTCATTGGGGATGTCAGTGGCAGTTAGTCAGTTCACCTCAGCGTCAGTTGGTGTCAGATTGCCCACCGCACTATTATAAACCAGTGTAAGTCACTGATTGCCACTGTTACTAGAATAATTATTAAATAAATAAATTATTCCAGCATCTATACCATAGTTTGTAGATGCTGTAACATTCACGCAAAACAATCAATATACACCTTTTAAACTTTTTTTATTTGATAAGTTTTTACACTCACAGATCTCTCTCCTGTCAGCTGCTCCATTGATCACCAAGCCTTGGCCATAAATCGCTGGCCGGGACCCAGTGATTGACATCTAAAGGAGCCAATGACAGCGCAGGTAGGATGGCGCATGCGCGCCCCCTACACGAAAAAGCAGATTCACGTATATATTTGTGATTCTGCGTAGAGCGACCGCCCTGTAGCAGTGAAACCTCAAATAGGACGCCAAGTGGGTAAGCAAACTTTGCTCAGCATCTGCAGTCTACATAAGTTCAGGTAGGTACACAAAAAAAAATAAAGACAGACACTACTAAACAAGGTTCAGACTGACTGCTGTGCAAGATACTTGGAGAGTGTTGAGAGCTACTGCAAAGCTTTAAAGGGAAAGAAAGTGACAGTTATTACAGCTGACTATACACAGTGAGATTTTGATTGGTGAATTCAGCAAAACGTTCACTGTAACAATGGATTGTAAGGGTCAGCCTGCTGGAGTTCCCTATGACTTATGACACATACTGTATTTTACTATTATTCAATCTGACTATAAAAATCTTACTGCGTATGGTCTGTTTATTTGCCAAGTGCAGCAGAGCCAGACTTGAACTCTCATAAACAATGTTGTTGATTGACTATAGACATCAGGCTTATCAGTTGTTTATATTTCAACAAAATGCTGGCTGCATGGACTGATTTAGGAAAACACAGGCAAGAATGTTGTCCAAAAAAATTCCTCAATTCATTTGACACAGGGAGCCTGATTGGTTGTAATTTTAAAAACTTCTCTTTTTCCCCAGTTTCCACAAACCGACTATAATATTTGTTCAATTCATACGTATGCTTAGTACATTAAAGGAAATCTAAAATGACAGAAATGCCTAGACCAGGAGTGTCAAACTCAGTTTCATCATTGGCCACATCAGCATTACGGCTGCCCTCAAACGGATCGTAACGGTAAGACTAGATGTCCAGAGAGCCTCACCCCCTCCTACATCAGATGTCAAGAGCTCCCCTCTCATCAGAAGTCAAAGGTCCTCCACCCTGCTTTACATGACAATGCACCCCCATTACCTTGTGCTGCTGCTGGGAAGAATGAGTTGGGAAACAGAAAGTGCAGGATCTGGAGGAGAACCAGAGGAGAGCTGCCGGAGTCTGCTGAATGCTGAGACCAGGGGAGGTGGAGACAAGGGGGTGCCGCGGCTGCACAGAGAAGCACAGGATCTGGTGAAGGAGTACTGTCCTCCTCTCTGCTGCTGACAGCTGAGACAAGGAGGGGGGTGCCACAGCTGCAGGAGAGGTGTGAAGGCCACATGAAATTGACTGGCAGGCTGGATTTGGCCAGTGGGCCTTGTGTTTGACAGATGTAGCCTAGACTAAAAGTGCTAGCTGCCTGTCTCTCTAAAGTCGGCCATGCATGGATCGAATGTCGGCCGGTTCAGCAGGGACCAGCTGAAGTTTGATTCATGTATGGGCAAGGAGGTTGTACAGAAGTCAATCTACTTCTTTACAACCGCTGTGCCAGATTTTCCCTGTTTGATCAGCACTGCATGATACAGTCTTCAACGCTGAGCAGTGTATTCTGATGGTGGGGAAGCCTCCCCATTGTTAGAATACAATAGTTCCTCGGGAAGAATTCCCCCATCCACATCAAGTGTATGGATGGGGGAACTGGGTCAGTTTTTTGTTCAACCCACAGGCTGAAAAAAAAAAAATGGACTCATGTATGGGTTGCTTAAGTCTCCCCCAGTGAAACTTGTTACTTGTTCTGGGTCACTGACTCAGAAAGTATTGAGGCTGCTGAACCAGGTAACAACCAGGTAATATACATTTTCAGGAAATAAAAGCATAATTCCAGGCAAACCCAAAGTAGTCTTAAAAAGGCCTCCTTCCCACTCCTAAAATCTGTGGTGACTAACCTGTGTACAGCCTATTTTCAGACTGCCAGTCACGTGATCCAGCAACTCTGCATCAGCCAGCAGCTGCTGCAGGGAAGAGGAGGGAGGATTGTGAGCCATTGTTGAGCGCTCGCTCCATTTCACTGCAGCTGCCACTCACTGACACCGGGGATCATAAGACCAGTCTGGAGCAGATTGAAAATAGGTAGACATATACAATATATTAGTAAGCATAGGTGTTAAGAGGGGAGAGGGAGCATTTTTAAAACTAGTTAGGTTTTTGCTGCCATTCCACTTTAATCGTTAGCCCTCTATTCTTTACTCAACAGAGGTATCCTTTAAAGTGAACACTTGGCCAGGCTATGGAGATTCAAGCATGTACTGTATGTATTATTAACAAATACAAATGAGCTACAAAACAAGCCCTCACTTACCCCTGTAGCTACAGGCACTGTAAAACAGTCTGTTCTCAAATGTCACAGAAGCACTGAAGGGGTATAGATCAATCATCTCAACAGTTTA